TGAGTGTGGGGGGGGGGGGGGGGAGGAAATGAAAGGGAATCAAGACTTGATTATCAGTGTAAAAATATGCGTTCAGACTAAAAAAAATACTGGCAGCTAGAAAACCTTAGTAGCACGTGAAAATGATCAACACACCCAGATCTATAGATGAGAACACTGGACAACTCAACTCATTCTTACCATATACCAAAGAAACAGTGCTTCTTCATATTTTCATAGAAGAGACATACAGTAATTAAGTTTAACTCAAACACTTCAGCATTTGGTTTCAACACACAGCAGTTGGTTCAAAGTGTCAAACCTAAGTTCTCTTCTGTAAACCATGCTAAAGTTACACATGGCTTGGTACAAAGAAAATACTAAAAATAAAACTCACTTTGCACTTTCTGCTACTTCTGTGAGTTCCCATTTTTAATACCCAAGGTAAAAATACAGGGCTTAAGGTTACTCCACAAGTTCAGCTATCCCCAAGACTTCACCAGAGAAGCCCTCTTCCTCAGCCCTTTCTTCCCTCTTCCTCAGATACTTTTGATATCATTTAATATCATGGTTAAAATCAGTAAGATCCACATATCCATGTATGCCAAGTTCTAACACCAACTTTCAAGGTGAAAAAAATCCTACTACAGTCCTCCTCTTGCCCTCACTATTCTTCTCCTTCAACAAGCTGCTTCCTAGGTATCTCCAACCAAACTGGATCTCAATCACATATACATGGATGTTATTAATTGCCAAGATTTAACTTAAGGAAGGCAGCAAGGAAAGAGTTGGGACTAACACTTTATGTTTGCTTAATGATAAAGCATGATCAGTTGGGACATCCTGGATGAATGGTGTGCTTCTACCCTGCAACCAATTTTTTTCTTGTTATGACTGCATACTGCAGAGATGTCAAAATTATGGTGTCTCATGTGGCAACATGTGCTGGAGGTGGGGGGTGAGCAATGGCTGCATTAACTCCCACTGCCTCCATTTGCTTTGCTACCATATCTGGATCTGGCAGGGGGCAGGTTAGGAAGGAGGGAGGGGGAAGTTTGACATACTTGGTATACTGTGTAACCACTACAAATCCATAAGAAAGACTCCCCACTACTGCTAATATCTTTTAGTTTTAAGCCACTAATACAAATTCACTCAATTTTAAATTTTGTTTAATTGATGTAGAGCAATAAGGCCAGGCCAGTAGAGCAATACTGTATTTAGATAAAACTGAGGATCATATAAATAAAAATAAACTTAAAAAAATTAAAAAATTAAAAATAAATAAAATTTTAAAAAATAGTAGTAAGGGGTTTTTTTTGGTTTTTTTTTTAAATCTTAATGACAATTAAACCTCATTTTTGGATTTCAGTGTTACCAGCTCTTGGACATTTTCTGTGCGTGAGTTCTGGGACTGATGCCTAACAACATTTGACAGATCAGGATTCCTAATTGATGAAGGATGGTGCTGTAGGTCTGGCTTCAGCCAGTAGATGCCAGAATGAACTCCGAAGTACTGAGCTACAGTTCAGGCTGCCACCATCAGGGGCTGCTGAGATGTCTGCTGCTTTTTGGTTCTAGAAACAGCACAAGGGACAGAGGCATGAGGAGCAGACGGTCAAGTTTCCTTACACCATTTCCCATATGATGGGTGGAGAAATGGCAACACAAGCAATTAGGCAAGCAGCGACCTAAAAACAGTGTCCCATTCCTTCCTTCCCCCCACCCACCAGCCAACTGCACCCTAACAATTCGCTTCTTCACTGCTGTTAGAACAGGGGTGGGCAAAGTCCAGCCCATGGGCTGGATCTGGCCAGCAGCCAGACTCCATTTCCCAGGAGCCTCTGCCTGCATGGCTTGGGGCCAGTCTCAATGGAGACACTGTGGTAGCACAAGGCCGGGGTTGCCATGGAGGCCAGCCCCAGCTGCACTGGCAGGGCAGGGCAGGGGAGGGGGCTGCTCAAGAGCCACTGGGATCTTGCAGTGGGGCAGCTTGGTCTGGGGCCAGGGTAGAGCCACAATTTGACCAAGTTGCCCCTGCCACAAGATACCAGCAGCTCCCCGCCTTGCAGCCTGCCAATGCAGCTGAAGCTGGTCTCCATGACAACCTCAGCCTTATGCTATCACAGCACAGCAGCTGGGGTCTCCATGGAGACCATCCCGAGCCATGTAGGCAGGGGCTCCTGGGAAATGGAGTCCAGCTGCTGGCCAGATCCACCTTTCCACCCACCCCTGTGTTAGGATATCACATAATGGCAGGAGAGAGGCAGACCGAGAACAACACATCCAATAAGGAAGCAGATGGAAAAGTATCCTTCCCTCAATCCTAAACTGTAACCAAGAGAGAAAATCCACAATTTCTGTCTCATTTCTGTACATTTCAGGAAGTTTCTCCAAACAAGCGCACACAAAGTCCATCCAGGTGCTCATGATTAATCAGAAAACAAGTTTGGTTATTTTTAAAACAAAAACAGAACATACTTGTATGTTCATCATTAATTAAACTTGAAGACTGGCAATGTTAGGAAAATAATAGAATTTAAGCAGTCCCCTACATAGCTTGATGTTGTGAGGTTTTAGTCATATGCAAATACACCACTTCTAGAAATCGTGTACATAAGAAACGTGCATGTTCAAAATGTCTATTTTCTTTGTCCAAGATGAGCGAACAATTTTAAACAACTGATAAAATGGTGAAAAGTAAAATAACGTTTTAGAACCCAGTTTGAAAAGTCTTGTTGTTTTGGATTTTTTTTTTTAAACAGATGCTAACCCAAGGGCTCTTTGTATGTCTATAGTGCTCTCATTCAAGTAGAATGGTCACTCTGTAAACAGCAGGAATTCTTTCCCCTTTCAAAACACCCACAGGATCAGATCTCAACTATACATTCCAAAACATATTAGCTAAAGGCACTATGCATGTACACCAACTAACACAGCATACTCACAAGATTATCAATTTTGAGTGAATTTTTAATTTCTGCATGTATCCTTTGAAGCCGAGAATCCATTGATGTTTCTGTAAGATTAAAAATAATATTTTGACTGTTTGATCCATTGAACCAGAATGCTACCCCCAAAAAATTCTACAAACTTGATTTCCTGGCATAGAAAAGGTTTTTTAAAAAGAGTTGTGGCTAAGCAGTCTATAGTAGCTACCCATACAAAACATACTATTTTGCTCATAAGCATTCTGGAGCATTTAAAAAGGGACTGGTTCACCAACACTGTTGTTATTGTTAAAAAATTAGACAGTAGTTGACAAGCTATGAAGCCATCTCTTTTCAGCATATGCTATGGTAGGAGACAGAAATAAGCTTTCAGTTTTTCATAGCTATAGCCAACTGTTACTCTGGATTTGGAATATGATCATTAACCCCAGGATTAGAAGCAAAAGATAAACATTTAGATCCCTATCTGAAGGCTTTTCTAAGTGTTGTTAGCTGGGTTCCTAGAAACTTAGCAGTCACTTCTCACTTAATTGTAGTCCAGTTTTGTCAAATATAACATCTGGTAAAATACAATGCACTTGTTTTCCCATAACAGAAAGTAAAGGCAAATGGAAGTAGTCAGTCCTTTAAATTCACATGCTGAATTATTTTGGAAAATAGCATACTGGGAACTGAAAAAAAAGTATCTGGCCAGATGCATTTAGGCAAAAGCTCCCACCCTGCAAACACTGATGCTCAGATTTGTCACAACCTGTCAATCTTCTCCTGGTTCAGATTGAAAAAAGGTCTCCAAAACAGCAACGCTTCACTCATTCCTATTAATACATCCTGAGCAGGCTACTATACAGAAGCACTCAAAGGGCTGCTCAAAGGAGTGACTAACTGAAAGACTCAGTTCCAAAAGAACTAGGGCAGCTGCTTCTCCACTGTGGATCCTGAGCCTTCCACTAAAAATAATGGAGACAAAGAAAGAAAAGCTACTAAGGGGAAAAGAGTAAAGAAGGATGGCATTAAAAAAAAAAAAGGTGATCTGGATTGTTCCCAGGGCCAACCCAGTTCCAAAGACAATAGTATTAAATAGCACAGAGATGTAAAAGGGAGTGACCTGCCCTGCAAAAGTTTCATTAAAAGTCTGGGCTGGTGTATGAAGATGCAGAGGCTATATCAACTGTCTGGAATAGGAGGCCCTTCTTCTGGCAGAGTTAAGTGTTTTCAGTAGAGGATTACTTTAAAAAGCTAAGCACCTCTTGACCTTTTCTGCTATTACGAGACAACAAGGGGGACCAAGTAACACCTATAGCAGTCCTATTCAGAGTGCAGAGAACTAGAACCTTTGGTTCCTTTAGGAGAAAGATTCTGTTCACTGCTGTCCAGCTGAAATACTATCAAAAGCTGGGATGACAACAGCCGAGAAAAGTGCATTAGAAGTGCTGTTTGCACTGCTGAAGGAAGTTACTTCAAACCATACATGCTGGCTCTGCATCTGCAATCGCAGGAAGCAGTCACAGCACGGGTATCCTTGACTTATGATCCAAAGACTCCTCGCTGATGATATAAAAGACACAATTTGTGTTTTAAAATTAGGTTTAAAAAAAAAAAAAAGTCTGAACAGCTTCTTCAAACTAACCTCGCTTCTTCTCCATCTTCTTAACTTCTGGTTTCTTGCCTTCCTCTTTACTCTGCCTATCAAAAATGTTAAAGATTTTACAACAATTGACATCTTTTAAAAGCTGTATGTAAAACATCTTTTAATGAGATGTGTTTTAGAGATGCTTTAGTGAAACATTAGCAAAAGGGAAAAGGCAAGCCCTGATCTTGTATAACTAATGGTTACATTTTATTTGAAGAAGATCCTGTAGGCAGAAGATTGTAGTCCATTTTTGTCAAATATAAAACTTCAGAGGATTGTAGTCACTTAATTGTAGTCTATTTTTGTCAAATATAATGCCTGATAAAAACGATGAACTTGCTTTCCCATAACAGAAGGTAAAGGCAAATGAAGTAGTCAGTCCTTTAATTCACATGTGCTGAATTATATTCTGGAAAATAATATGCTGGATATGCTACTGGCAAATGGAAAAGGGTATCTGGCCAGACAACAGGTTTGCTATCAACAGAAGTTAGTGTTTTCAGAGCAAATGGAAACAAACAAAAGTCAAGGAAATAAATATATATTTCTAAATTTTATTCTTTATTTATTCTACAGAAAAAAGAGCTGTAACCTATGAAACATTTGTGCATGCAGAATCTTTAACTGTAAGACCATTTTAATGACTAGTACGCTTTGAAAGTGGTAAATGATTCCACCTCAGTTATGCATAGGAATTTGGGAAAAAGTGATCATATAGCCAAAAAACCCAAAACAAAACCTCCCAAAACCCACACACCACAAAACAGTGCAATACAACAGTAATGAAGTAAAGATATCTACAAAACAAAGTAAATTCTTAAGTATCCTACTAGTTATATTGTATATTAAAAACCAAAATTGTAAAATCAATTGTATATCAAAATCAAACTGCATTTTAATTTTAAGGACAGAAGGGTAAAGAAGAGTAAGGGTTTTAGCCTATTTATTTATTATTTTTCAAATCTCCTGGCTCTCCCTCTTTGGGTGGGGGGAGGGGGGAAGAAAAAAAAAATCACTAAAGTTATGAAATCTTAGACTGAAGCAAAACTAAAGTTTGATACTCCACTACATGTTCAGTAACTATGACAAACCACTGCTTATCAAAAATCTCCAGTATGTCACATTCAGTTCTCACTTTGCTTGGCAAGCCCCAGCAGGCTTTAGGGGCATGTTTTGTAATTCATATACTGGACTGCTTTTGAAGCTTTCAATACAATAGATGTTAGAAGACATAGAAAATAAGTCAGTCCTTCCCCTTTCATGCTCATCACGTCCTACACTTTCCTTTCATAATCTATAAAACTATGGAGTCATGGATTTCTTAGTCCTTAGGATTTCTTCTTGTTATCAATTATACAGACCCCCTAAGAAGAAATAGCAACAATGTCTGTTTGGCTCAGATAAAAATGGCTAATACTAATGATATAAAAGGGGCATCTTATTAGAGATTAAGATAAACTGACGAAGAACAAGTCATCTTATTTTCATTCAACTGGCTGAGAACCTTACAGAAAGACAGTGTAGACAGAAAATATATGAATATATATCTTATATTAGCTTTAGCATCAACACTGGTCATTACAGTCCATGATATGCTGTATCCCAATACTGCAACCAACAGCTTCTCTCTATAATTACTCAAGTGCACCTGGGCTTAGTTCCTCAGAGATATGAAGCAAATTAGACACCCGTTTCAAAAGGAAGAGGCTTTTTTTTATATAGACATTAGTATAACCAAAGCAATACACTACAAATTTGTTGCAGAAATAAAAGATATACTACAGAATTTACATAATACATTAAAGCAGTTGCGAAGAAACGGTAAGGCAGGAGATGCTTACCATTTGGCAGCTAGCCAGGAAGAGAAATTAGTTTAGGGCTCTAGGGAAGGAGTGGTAGAAGAAAAGAGGAAAGGTCTGAGGAGAACAACAAAAAGGCCGGGTTTCTGTTAATGGGTGTGGAAAAGTTAGCAGAGAGAGGGCGTGTGTTAAATGTTGTCATTACATGTTGAGGGAGGGACCGTTTTCTTAGCTGTTCTCCCAGAGTTGTTACCTTGTTCTCCCCTTCTTTCTCCCTCCCACTAATTGTGGGGCTGGGTACATCATGATCTCCTGGTGGCTCCTTCTTCACCCATTCCTGGAATTGCTCTCCAGAATAGGGCAGATTTCTTTCTACTGTCCCCACCCCCCCAAGTTTCTGTCAGTATCTTCTCTCCATGCGGATGCTTGGCTTGTTTGTGATAATTCTCTTCTGAGTGTAGAGTGCTCTTGAAATCACTCAATTGGCTTTGCAGAGCCAGAGTAGCATAAGGCAGAACCTTTTCCTTGTTCTGTCTGACGGTGTGGACTCCAGCTGCCAGACAGAGAAGGAAATGTTTTCCAGGGGACCCTATGCATTCCACAACCTGACGAGAATTCCAGTCACGGAGTTAATGGGACCCAGCCCTCTCAGCCTCATATATATTCCAGATGAAAGTCCGGAACAGTTTTATTGGACAGAATTAGTTCTTTCTTCACAAGAGCAGGCTTGAATATGGGAAGAATCCTTAGTATCTACATTTTTAAACAGAATCTGTCAACTTTGTGCTTATGTTAGGAAGCCTAAGTCACTGGAAAAGGGAATCCAAAAAATATAACAAGCATCATTGTATTTTCTCCCATCCTCCCCCAAAATCACACTTGTTATCTCATCTACTGAATTATGAAAATTGACCCTCTGTTCATGTAAATATTAGAAAAAACAATACCACTAGGAAGAAGGGGGGGAGGGGGGAACCACTAGCAGATATAATTGCAAACTATTTGAAAAGGAATTCTCTCTCAGATTTTGCGTCTCATTTTATTAATCTTACAATTACTGCTACAAGTTTGCACAGCCAACAAAGAATTATACTCACGGTTCAGTTTCCATCTGCTCTTCTTGCTTGCGCTTTCTTTCTCCTACTTCTCGCTCATGTTGGCTTTTTAACACATTTCTTCTATGAGCTCCCTGAAAATTTCTTCCTCCTTTTTTCTTCTGTTTCATTTAACAGAGTTTAGGAATGGAGTGGGGAGAGAGAAGGAGTCTTTAGACTACTGCAAATCAAGAATATTAATAGTTAAACCTACCTGCCATAAATTTTAGACCTACAGCATTGTTCCACTCAGCAGAAATATTTGAACCCGGAATTCCCACACAATTAACCCTAACCAACCACTGTGGGCTATGAGATTCTTGTGCATGTGTTAGAATTGTGAAATCTGACTAGTATTTTCCTTCACTTTCCTTTCTCCAGAAGTAAGAATGGGCCACAAACTCCCAAAGCTGAAGCAACAGAATCTATGTGATTAGATTAGAACGTGATTAGATAGCCACACAC